CTACTCATAACTTTCTTCTTTTATTCTATGAGTTCTTTTTTTTTTTTTTTTGGTTTTTTCGAGACAGGGTTTCTCTGTGTAGCTTTGCGCCTTTCCTGGGACTCCTTGGTAGCCCAGGCTGGCCTCGAACTCACAGAGATCTGCCTGCCTCTGCCTCCCGAGTGCTGGGATTAAAGGCGTGCGCCACCAACGCCCGGCCCGATTCTATGAGTTCTTCGTGTCCTTGTCAAGAATGAGCTGAGCTCACTCTATATTCTTGTTCTTCCCTCTTGAAGGAATTCTACTGGTCAATGACTGGTGGATGTCACTACCACTCAATTCAGATTACCATAAGTTGAGATGCAAGTTGAAAACAGGAAATCTGCTGCCTGCAGCTCTGCTCTTTCCCAGACCTATTGTAACCCTTTAGTATGTGTGAATGTTTTACAGCTGTTTTACATTTGTTTTTTTATCTAAATGAAAAGGGGTATTGAGTTATTTCCTGGGATTGTGTTGAATCTGTGTATTGTTTTGAGTAAGACTGAATGGAAATTTAAGCACATTTCTAGGACTTAGTGCTTTTTCATGAGGTGTCTGCTCCTTTTGGTGAAATGTTGGTTTATATATTTGTTCTATTTCTGATTATTTTTTTTCTGTTGAGTTTTAATAGTGCTTTATCCTAGCTAATAATTTTTTGTCAGATAATCAAGGTAAGATGCTAGTATAGCTACTTTCTATAAAGTTACCACAATTAGCAAATACTGAGTTACCCTTCCTAATTGCAATGGTTCCCACGAGCCTCTCCTTACATTTCCTTCAACAGTTCAATACCTAACCTTGGGCCAGGCAGATAGGTTCAGTCAGGAAAATGCTGATGCAGCCCCCTCTGCATATAAACGCCCTCCTCACCCTTACACTATCTAACCTTGCTTCGTGTGTGTCTCTGTGGAGGGGTACCTTACTTGTCATGTATTCAATTTATTAGCATTAATTCCAACCATCTTCCCCCTTACTCATTCCTGGTTGACTCTCTTACAGTCCATACACTTCCTCTCAGTAATATTACTGGGGACGTGACTTTGGAGCGCTGATCAGCCATGGAGCACCACTCTGGGATGGACAAATTTAATAGTAAAGAAATCAACCCAAAAGCACAATATTGCCAAATGCAAATGTGTTTGCAGTTTCATTCTCTCAATCTCCATTGCAGTCCGAATGTCAGGTGCTTCTATTGATTGTAGCCAAATTCATGTCTGTGAATAAGCACAAAGGAGATGTAAGCTTCGAATCTGACGTTAGCTAAATGTTAACAAGTATGTGAGCCTCCAATGATGGAATTCATAAACAATGAATGCAATCTACATGAGATTTGTAAATGTTTTCTTCTTCACCGCAGCTTCCATTGTGATCCTCAACTGCACCTGTCATGGAGGAAAAGTGTTTCATTTTAATGAAATCAGATTCATCCCTGTTTGCTTTTATAGTCCATGCTTTGGATTAAGAGTCTAAGAAGTCTTCTTAGTTCTGTATTTAGGACATATTTAAAACCTTTTCTATTTTTTGTTAATGCATTATAGGCTTGTATTATTATTTTAATTGAAAATAGTTTCTTTTTCATACAATATATTCTTATTATAATTCCCCATCCTCTACTCCTCTCAATTCCTCCTTACCCTCCCTCCCCTCTGGATCCACTCCTTTTCTCTCTCTCATTAGAAAACAAACAGGCTTCTAAGAGAAAATATTAAAATATGATAGGATAAAACACAACTAAACAAATCAGAATAGGACAAAACAAATAAACAGAAGGAAAAGAGCCCAAGAAAAGGCACAAGAAACAGATATAGATTTAGATCGCAGAGACCTACTAGTTTGTACATTCAGGAATCACATCAAAACACAAAACCAGAACATTGAAAAACATAATAAATATGCAAAACCTGTAGAGTAATAAATCAATAAATTACAAGTAAATAAAAGTAAAATTAATACTAAAATTAAAAATTAAATTTAAGATAAAGCCCTGATATGACATCATGAGACAAGGAACCTCTGAAGATGCCACTGAGATGAATTCTTTTTCTGTTGGCCAACTACTGTTGGGCATGCAGTCTACCATTAAGAGTAGTTTGCGTCCCTAGTGGGACTCCCTTGGATAAAACCAGTTTTTCATTTGCAAGTGGTTAGCAAAATGGCTTCTGGGTTAGTGATGGGGCCATGTGTTCACTTCTCCTTTCCACTCTAGGACCCTATCTGGTGCAGACTCATCTTGCAGGCCCTGTACATGCTGCCTCAGTTTCTGTGATTTCCTTTGTGCAATGGTCCTGAATGTAGAGGGCCTTGTTTTCTTAGTATCCTCCATCTCCTCTGATTCTTACACTGTTTCTACCTCCTACTTCTTCTTCAGGCTTCTCTGAGTACTGAGGGAAGGGATTTGATGGCGACACTCCATTTAGGGCTGAGTGTTCCTAGGTCTCTTATTCTATGTATATTGTCCAGCTGTGGGTCTCTGTATTTGTTCCCATCTGCTGCATGAGGAACCTTCTCTGATGATGGCTGGCACGGATCTATGAGTGAAGCAGAATGTCACTAGGAGTCATTTTCTTTGTAGAACAGTAGTATTTAGTTTTCCTCTAGGTCCCTGGGCTATCCAATCTCAGGTTCTTGGTCACCCATATAGTATCAAGTGTGAGTGTCATCTTATGGAGTGGGCCTTATAATAAATCACATATTGATTGGTTACTTCTGCAAGCTTTATGCCACCATTGCACTATGATGTCTTGCAGGTAGGACACCATTATAGATAGAAGGGTTTGCATTGGGGTTGGTATTTACATTTTTCCTTTGGTACTGTGCAGTGTACTTTCTAGTACTAAGAACATTAGCCAGTATGGGTGAACTCTCTAGGTAGGCACCACCTCCATGTTAAATGCATTGTGTAGATAGTGTCTTCATGGGTCTCTAATTTTCAGTTAAGTGCAAGACCAGTTTTGGGACAGGTTTTTTTTTTTTTTAATGTAAAGTGGGACATTAAATTCAAGGTTTGTTTGTTGGTGATTATTGTTTTCTATGGGTGTTCAATTGCTTCAAGAAAACATGTCGAGAAGATGTTCTTTCCTGTACTGCACAGTTTCTCTCTCTCTCTCCTCTCTCTCTCTCTCTCTCTCTCTCTCTCTCTCTCTCTGTATAAAACAATGATAACATGAATTTATGAAGGAGTTGGTGGGATCATATAGGGAGTTTGAAGGGTATAGGTGATACAAATACATTATCTATGTACGAAATTCTCAAAACAAACAAAATAAAACACCTACAAATGTTGCTGGTATATTTATGCCCTTGATACTGTGGGGTGGAAGTGGAATTCTAGGCTCCCTGTATGGTCTCCACTAAAACCAGGGTCATTATCATCTGCTAAGGATGAAAGTGTGGATCCCAATGGAGATGGAAGTCTGCTCTCAGCTAAGGGTCAAGAAGGAGTTTTGTTACAGCCTGGTAATTGCACCCTGTGCTGTGAGTGGTGGTGCTGCTGTTTTTTATGTGTTACTGGCAGGACAAATATAGCTGTTCTCTAAAAGGTTTCTGCTTTGCCATGTTCTTCCCTTTTTGTTTGGTGTGTGCCTGCATATGTGTGTGTGTGTGTGTGTGCATTTGTTATGTGTATGTATGTGTATGTATATGTATATATGTATGTGTGTGCGTGTGTATTTGTATATATGTGTTTGAATGTGTGTGTGTGTGTGTCCAGTCATTAGTATTTCTGGTTTGTTGGCCAAGACACCCACCTAATATTCTGTTTAGGACACAGGAGGTAAAAGCAGAAGCCAGGAAAGTAACCACCATGTCTTTCCTTCACTCCAAGTGCCTGGCCTGTCTGTCTCCCTATCTTTGTCTCCTTGTGCTTAGTGGCTGTTTTTTTTTTCCCTTTATTTTATTTTGCTTTTCACCTCATTTAGAGTTCTTTTTTGATATTTTTCTCATTTTATGGATACAAAAGAAGCTGACAAAACTATACAAAAGATTCAAAGATACTCAGCTCACACATGTCAGAGAACGTTCATAAATTATATGACAGAGTCAGATTTGGCCAGCTTGAAACTGTCACCCAGACTCCCATCATGTAGCCAGGGCCTGTGCTCTGAGGACCACATATCCTATGTTCATCATGCACACATCAAAGTAACACCCAAGACCTTCACCAGAAATACCTTGTCTTGTGAGTATTCATGATCCCACTGACATAATGGCACACAAATCCCTAGCTAGGAACACAATGGGACACAGGGCACTGACCTACCTGTTCATGGTCTATTTACTTCATCTCACCTTACCTTATTTACATTGCACTTCACTATGGGTTTGGAATGTGTGGAAGGAGAGGACAATTATGCCAGAAATGGTCCCCAAGTGCGTACAAATGAAGGAGCCATTAATAGCAATCACCAAAGAGGACACAGGGAGAGGTTACTAACAGCATGGGAGTCTCTATAGGGTTCCCAAACGTGGACACCATGGAAAAAATACAGTAAGACACATACACTGGGGACAGTGGTTAGCAATATATTTAGAAATGGCAACCCAGCTTCTAGATGCCTCAAGGAAGTGTGAAGATGAGGGGTAAGTGCCGTATTTTACAAGATAGCAAGTCAGATCATATCTGCATTTTCAGTCTTACACTGTGCTATCTTCCTGGGACAGTTGATTTTTCTAAACTAAAGAAGACATATGTCTTCATAAGACTGTCACATGACCCATCTGTTCCTTTTCTGTATTAACATCACCTCCAACCTTGCTCATTCTCATGTGATCTCAGGTTATGCACCTTCCTGCCTCCCACCATGTCCTGTCTCTTACCCGTTAATTGCTCCAATCAAATGTATTATTTTTTTTGCTCACAGATGACTACGCGGTATCTAGGACCTTCAATGGTTTCCTATGGCTCTCCATATTAAGTCTAGATCACTTTAGAAGACACACTAAGAAGTCATATTGTCATGGCTTGGTCTCTGCTCTTTTCTTAGGTATTATCAGATCCGGGTGACTTTGAAAGTGTCCTCAAGGATCCCCCACAGGCTGAGTGCTTCCATCGTCGGGCAGTCAGGTGAGTAGAAAGCAGGACTCCTGCCTCCATGAGTAATCCATCATGTGTTCCTGTGTGTCATGGTCTAGCAGAACAAAGGCTAGTTCTCACTGTCAACAGTCGGACCAGTGAGTTCAGGAAAGGCAGACACACTATTGGAAGTGGCCCTGTGTGAACATTGTTGTTAAGAAGGGTTGGCTGAATAAAAATCACTCTTAGGAGTGGCTGGTAGCTTGGGGAAACTGTCTGCAGCAGGTTGTTTGAAGTCACATCATAGATGAAATGGATGAGAAGCAGCATCCAGCCAATAGGTAAGGAGAAGCCAGTTGTTATGGCTTCAGGGGACTGAGTGGGTGAGCAGTTGTACTGGCACTTTCTAGTCATAATAGAGGGATCGAATGTCATTACCCATTGTAAAAAAGACTGTCAAGGAAAATCCAGGGCCTAATTTTGATGCTGGCGATCTAAGAAGAAACCCAAGGCTTTGAGGAGCCAGTCTGATAGAACTCAGTGACAGGAAATATGTGTGAGAGACTAAAGAGCAGAAGTACAGGGCAGTTTGGGAACAAATATGGCAGAGCCACACTGTCTAGTGAGTCTTAAAAGAAATGATTCAGCCTTCAGGGCAGAAGAAGAGAAAGGAAAGGGATGAACAGGAAAATAGTCCCTGATAGAAGTAAGAGTGATCCTGATTGTCAGAAACAAGCTGTAGAAGAATGCTGGTCCCAGCCATACTTCATAAAACCCATTTGGAATGGGCAAAAGCATCATGGGGAGTCAAACACGTGCAGTAGAGATGCTACAAGGGAGAAGCACAGATACAGAGTGAAGGCTCTTGATTATTCCTCTAACTCTAGACCTAGAAAGAGAAAAACTCAGCTGGTCACCGGCCCCTTCCTCAAGCCTGAGCTAAGCAGGTGTTAGTTATCAGTTAAGTCACCGTCTCCCTAAGTTATTTCTCTTGTCCAAGCCCCTCTGTTGGAAGTAAATAAGGCATCTGAGGTGATAAAAGAAGGATTTATACTCTCCCACAATCTGTACTCTGCCAGTATAGACTCAGTGTTATTTCCCTCTTTCCCATCCTGTTCTAGGTTCCTTCCTTCCCTGCCTTTGTCTCTGGCATCCACTAAGAAAGCAGGATATTTGGGCTCTGCTTTAGATAAATTGACTGTACAGTCCTAAGTAAATGATCAGCACTTTCTCTTCACTTGAAATAGGCAGATAAAAATTCACCTCTATGGTGTCTTTCTCTTTTTTGTGGAGATCATATATGACAAATATGTCTTATAGAGATGATAAATACGAATGTGTTGTGATGGGAACTGCCATAAAGTAAGAGTCCAAGAGTCTGCCCTGTGAGAGGTTGTAAGTCAACATGATGAGTCAAGGTCTCATTCTTAGAGCCAAAGCAAAACTCTGGGGGAGAGGTGGCAGCAAGAGTAGGCTGATTGATGAGAGCCATCTGCAGGCCAGTGTGTACTTGGACTCTTTCCTCTCTAAGATTCTCGGCAGCATGACTCTTTCCTCTCTAAGATTCTCTTGTCATTGCTACATCTTCTTGGGAGTAGGAAGTCCCAGCTGTGAGGTCCAGAGGCCTCTGGGCATGCAGGAGCTTTTGCGGTCCATAGAGAAAGAACGTATTGAGACGGTGCTGCAAAGACAGAGAAAAACAGCAAGAAGTGCAACTTCAGGTTAAAGCCCTTTCCCTTTCTGGTCTAGTTTGGCAGAGTTAGGATTGTGATGCAGTGATCATGCCCTTGAGTTTTGCACTCAAATTCTATTTAGAACAGAAATCTAGCACATTCCAGCAGTGACTTATGATCAGACAGTTTCATGGGTGAGAGATATATGCATATTTATTTCTCCTTCAAGGTGAATTGTCTAATTATATTCAACTCCTCTGTATATGCCTATGTTGTTTATGAATCCTTCCAAAACTTGATACTTAAAACAATGGCCTGTTCTGCTTGATTTTTCAAGTGGGCTGAAGTTGCCTAGCCTTGAGATGCATTAGTGTCACCTCAGGCCTCAGCTGGGATAGAGCACTCAAGACTTCTTCACTCACAGGGTAGATGGATCCCTCAGCTCATTGCTCGAAGAATAGCTAAGCTTCTGCATCTAGCTGGAGTATCAAACTACTTTACATGATAGTTCCATTGCCATGAGATAAAACAAAGAGGTGTAACACAAATCTTAAAAGGTCTTATTAATAAAAACAAAAACAAAAACACTTGAGAGCCAGGTATTGGGGTAAATTCTTAAAGACCAGAGAAGCAGAACAAGCCACAGCTAACCTAACCTCCCCAACTTCTCAGTCGATCCTGTTTCCTCAAACTGGAAGCCTCTGAGTCCTCATCCAAATGAATCTCAGCTGAACTGCTGCTACAAGCCTCAAAGCTTAAAAAGCTAAAAAGCCTTTAGTTCCATGCCTTATATACCTTTCTGCTTCCTGCCATCATTTCCTGGAATTAAAGGTGTGTGTCTTTCCCAAGCAAGACATGAGATCTCAAGGGCTGGGATTTAAGGTGTGTGTCACCATGCTTGGCTGTTTCCAGTGCCTGGAACTCACTGGATCACTGTCTCCAGAATGCTAGAATCAAAGGCGTGTGCTACCACTGCCTAATCTCTATGTTTAATGTAGTGGCTGTTCTGTTCTCTGATCCTCAGATAAGTTTATTGGGATACACAATATATCAACCACAAAGAAGATTCTACATTGCTTCCTGACTGTGTGGAATTGGTACACGATTGTTCTCCAGTATCTCATTGGTCAAATCTAGGACAAGGCTGTCTATCACCACCTAGAAAAGGAATGCACACCATTCCTTCCTGTAAAGCCCTTCCTTCAAGCCCTGTGTGGAGAGGACACTGACACCCATGATTACAGACAATCATCTCAATATATTTTTATCACTTGTAGGTATTTTGGCATAGAAAATAATAAATATAAATGCTTTGGAAGCAAAATATGCCAAAATTAAAAAATCCAGGAATGTCAAAGGGGTGGGGTGGCCAACGGCATCTTCAACTTCCATTAATTGACGTGTCTTGTCAATATAGTGTATTTAATTTGTTCTTTTGTTCCAGTTGTCTTTAATGTGGATGTAGACAAAGCTTACTGAGTTTAGTGAGGAAGGGTTCAACAGGACAGAGTGCCATGTGTACTGAGATGACTATATTCCAGTCCTTCATCCCCGCTTCCAAGTCATGTGAATTCAGAAGTTGATTCAGCAGTTATCTTTCTAGTTCCTCCTTTTTAAGTTGGGGTCACTGGGTGGTACTTTCCTCCCAGGCTTGTGGTATAGATAAAATGAATTCTCTGAGAAAGATAGTTATAAAGTTTTCAGCTCCAAGAAAGCTTAGGATAATTGTTCATAGACACAATTGTAGACTAATGCTAAATCTAAGTAGGCTAAGTGTGGTTATGATGCATCGTGTAGCCGTTTGCCTAACAATATTCTGCTTTGTGGAGAATCTTGGCCATGTTTTTGTGGATATAGGTGTTTGCAACAGATGGTCTCACAGTCATCTCATGAAATAAAAGTGATGAGAGTCATCCAATAGAGGCAGAGTTTTCTGATCCCTGATGGAGCAAATAGCTAAGCAGGAACAGGGAAGCTAGGTGGAGGAAGAGAATCACGGTGGGGCCTGGAAGGTTAAGAAACTAATCCAAGATGAGGGTATGGAAGGAGGATGATCAGGCAGAGGCCACAGGATGACCCAATCCCTAGAGCCTAAATGGGGCCTTGATTCTTCATGTCCATGTAGATTAGTTTTATGGTATTATTGAGAACTTGGACAATAGGAGGAAAAAGGCAGACCCCCTGGATTTGTGCCATGTGCTAGAGAGAAGTTTTATCTGAAAAGCACAGAAAGATGAAGGGAAGTACCTTGATCACATGAACCCAGTGCTGGCTGTTCAAATTCACAGTGTTCTTGGCAATTAAACAATGGGTAGGTATGCTTTCTTTCTCCTCCAAGCATGTTGGTTCTTTACTAAATTTTACACAAATGCACATTTCCATGGTTCATATAGCTTAGATGCAGGTTCTGAAGGTACAGAAAAATGTCACATGGAATTTTGCAAGATAGGTTTCCATGGTTAGATCCTGTATAACAAATTCTAGGTGAATAACCTGTGTGTCCCTGCATTACCTGTCATAATACTTTCTAAAGGGTAATTTGGGGCAATTGTTCTCTGGAGACGTGTGATTTATTCTCATCTTGGTTGGCTGAACATGTCCTTGAGTGGATTGTGACAAGCTCTGAGCTCATGCTGGTTAGGAACAATCCTTCCCATGGGCATTCTAAAGGATCCCAGTGTCAGAGAAAGGACAGGTGCTTGATTAGGCGACAACTGTAATTGAATTAGATATTCTCACTGGCATGAGTGTAAGGTACAAAGAAGAACACCTATGTGTGAATTCAGGGACTCTGGAAAGTGTGGAGTCCTGCTCCAGCCATGTGCAGGTCCTGAGATGGGGAAGGGGCATCATTGTGCAAAGAAGTCTGACCACCAGATGAGTTTTCCACAAGTGGCAGCCCCAAAATCTTGAGCCATCTTCATTTATACTTCAAAAACAAACATGTTTTCCCCACACTCCAGTGCTAACCTCCAACAAAAATAAACATGTTTTTTTCCCAACTTTTAAATCAAAACAACTTTTAAACCAGAAACAACAATAGTCAGCATTTTGCTAGCTTGGCTAAATACCAAGCCATGCACACCTTGTCCTTACAGAGCTAAAAGGTGATAGACATAGGCACAGATTCTCAAGAACAATGATATCATCCAAAACTTAACAAAGGCGATTTATAGAAATAGGGGATTTGCCATAAGTTGCTTTATATAGATAGCTTGTATTTCTCTGTTTGCTTGTCTTACAAGGGAGTCCTGCATTCCTAAGCCTCTCTATAAAGTGTGAAGTTTGATAAGGCACTCTTTTCCCATCATGCCACACTGTCCTTAAAGTTTTTTTTCCAGAACTGGGAGGCATAGTTAATGTCCCCTATGTTGCTTT